GTGTGTGTGTGTGTGTGTGTGTGTGTGTGTGTGTGTGTGTCAGAATCTGATGAGATTTATTTTGGAGCTTGTTTAAACCATCAGATTTCCATTCATTCACAGAATTCTTTATTTCAAATTTTGAATTTCTTTAGTAGGCCACTTTTAACAAAATACATTCCCTGAAGGGCGTGGAGTTGAATAATTTTTCCTTAATACATTTTTAAATGTTCTTCATTTACTGAGTGTTTTAAGTATTTCCTTCACTTTAGGCTGGTCTGCTCCCTCTGCTATTGGAATCGCAGGCCTTGGAGGAGGGTTTGAGATTGGCGTTGAGGTAAGCTGGAAAACTAAGATCCACCTGTTGCAGGCATTTTCGTCCTGATATCCATGGTATATCCTTTGTTACTGTCATTTGAAGTCTTTGTTGCTATTGCAGTAAATCTCAGATTATTACTTCAATGCTTTAGAAAAAGGAATCTTCTAACTTAATTTTAACATCTTAAAATATGAGCATTTAGCGTACAGAAACTCCTTCAGACCTTACGTATAGTACAAATTAGAAGTGTGTGTGTGTGTGTGTGTTTCCCCATTTTAAATTAGTTAATTCAGGCAACCACTTGTGCAACAAAAAAGCTTAAGAACGGCGATAAGATTTGTATGCCTTCAAGGCTAGGGTGACATGCCTGATACTCTGTTTTGCTGTTACAATTTGTAGAATTTCAGCTATAAACTGAGAGTGATGGGGGGGGGGCAATGCATAGAATTTTTGTGGCTTGACTACTTTTCAAACACTTTCAGTTTTCACTATTCATGGCTTAATTTTACAAACTAGGGGGCATGTGTAAATGTTTAAGACTTATTTATGCCTAAAGTGACCGCTTTCCAGAACAAGTAATTTCTCACTGTAAAAAATCTTGTACTCACAAAAGAAATTGGGATTATCCTTTCATAATGGCCCACAAAGCTTTGGTACAGTGCCACATTGCATGCTGGGACACGCTACTGTGATTGTTTGTTTTCTTTCCCCGTCATGGTAGCTTATACAGCAGTGTGAGGATAGTAGTTATATTGGCATCCCTTTGCCATCCGTCTTCAGGAGGCAATGACATTTGCAGTCATTTTATTTTTGGTTTCTGACAAAAGCAATGGCCCTGCATCTGCAGTGCTGTTAATGCCACTCACGCCTGCCTTTCGTTATCGCAAATAAACGCCCTTTGCCTAATCATATTGGTCACATGACTAGTTGCATTGTTTCCGACATTTCATGTCAGTCGGATAATCTTGAAGCATTGGAACCTGATTCGCGTTTGTGGAGTCTGGCCGATATTTTGTCACACTTTTGAAAACATTTTGAGGCCTCATGAGTACCTTCAGATCCGTCCTGCACATGCATCAGTATGAAGACAGAGACAAAGCCCCATATATGCAAATATTGTTAAATCTTTATTTCACCTATATTATAACAGAGCTGAAATTTGCAAACTTTTCTGGAACCTGGTAGTAGTATTGGTTAGGTCTGCATTGACTGTACCATTTGTTTGACAGATGACCTAATTGTCTTGCTTCCTTCTATTAGATTACATTAATGTTTGGTTTAGCTTGGCTACCGCTTTTATGCTTTGGTATTCTCATGCCTTTTCGGTGCGCTGCATATGTATCATGATACCAAACTCACAATGTTGTCCCGCTTGAAATATTTCTTGAATCGTCAGTTGCGTCAAGCATTTAACTGGAGCATGTATAATCTTTCTTCCAGTTTTGAAATAGTTTGGCTGCCGTGCAATCTAGGATATGCTCAATGGCGCTGCTCCACAGCCAATCCAGACACTTGAACCTTCAGGAATGTTTGAACACTGTTACCTGCTGATCATCATGCCCTATGCTGCCTGAGAGAGGGTTCACGACCCCACCCCCCTAACCTTGTCCAGAAGAAGCATATTGGAAGATGAGGATATTTAATTTCTATGGTTGTAGATGACACAAGTTTATTTTTCTATGTTCTGTTATTACAATTATAGTAACCTAATGTGACCCTATTGCTTTCAGAGTTGAGCGAGTGTGAAATAGCTAACACATCGTTCTCAGTTTGGCTGTTTTAGACCAACCTGTTTTATACATTTTAATGTACCTCAGTGGATGTGTCATGTGATATCTAAGCTGTGGGGTTTTTTTGGTACACTTTTTATCTAACTTGCCTTCCCTGTCTCTGTGCTGACGTATCCTCCAAAGATGCAAGACTTTCTCATTATAGTAAATTCTGGCAAATACTTCGTTCTAACTATTTGTCATTGAAGCCAACAGACCAGTGAGAACATTTGCAGCCCTTGCTTATATATCCAAAAAGGGGGGGGGGGGGCGTTGCCATGCAACAAGAGAAATTCTTAACTGGAATATACATAGTCATTGTTTTGGGCAGCATGTATACACATTGTTAGATCACTTGCATTATTGCATGCAACTGGTACTGGATGAGTATGAAATAACAGAAGGGGTTATTTGAAGTCCAGATTTTATTTTATAATGACAATGGAGGATCATTTTGTTCAGAGAAAAATCTGGTTTAAGATAAGTCTCCGACTTCAGTATGGGATTATTTCTAGAGGGTAGATGTCCTTGATTTTATGAATCTGCTGAAAGTTGTGTTAATTTCTGTTGGAATATTTATTTTTGTTTGCCCTAAGATTTTTCCTTCTTCCCTAAGGTTTCAGACCTGGTCATCATCTTGAATCACAGGAGGGCCATTGACGCTTTCACGAAAGGCGGGAACCTCACCTTGGGAGGCAACTGTACCGTGGCAGTGGGACCTCTGGGCAGGTGAGTCGCTAAACTGCTTCTGCGGCGTTCTTTGGCCTCGATCAGTGTCGCTGAATTTTTTATTATTTTTTTTTTATTTAATGTTATTTTAGGTCTGAGTGTTTGTGTTTTAAGCATTAACATTTTCCTTGTTCATTTTGGTCAGCCCCTTTGTACCTGCAAAAAAATATTTGATTACCAACAATTTAGGGCCGAGAAGCTAGTCTATTTTTTATTTTTTTCCCTACATTTCGTGTTTATGACTCAGTTTAGTGAAAAGATTTGTTGCGTTCATCACAGTTATTTATGTGCTTTATGGGCTGCGAACTGATAATAGCTGTTATGTCTTTTTATTTATAGATAAAGCTATAATTAGTATATTTGTATGGTGAGAAAGTGTGTGTGTGTCTCCTGTATGTGTTAAATCATTTATAAATAGACATTTATAAATGACTACATGTTGGGGCAGGAGTTGTTCTTTCTGTGGAACTGGATTGGTGCCTGAAGAGCATCTATCACATCATGGGCTAAGGGGTGGTGCAGTGAGGGTGTCGGGAATCTAATATCACATGACATGGTTGTTTGGGTCCCCCCCACCCCCCATTGTAACAACGTACCAGTTGGTGTGGCGAATGCCACGTGATGCCAGGATTCTCGTCTCGTGTTAAGTGATCTGTCAGGATACAAAGTTGCATCTTGACATACAAAATTTGTGCAAATGTTTCAGGTCATAGGAATAAAAGTTCAATAAACTCAGAAATTATACTAGTTGTCTAGTTACATATCAGTTAAATGTCTTCTGCGGTGAACAAGTAACCTGGACAGTGTTCTTATTGAGTCTTTGTGCTTTTGATGTCATCAGGCCCTGTAATGTATGTCATGTTTCTGTTACAGGAACGTTGAGGCGGATGTGGCATTGCGGAGCACAGCCGCTGTCTTCACCTACTGCAAGTCACGTGGCCTCTTCGCAGGGGTGTCCTTGGAGGGCTCTTATCTTATAGAGCGCAAAGAAACCAACAGAAAGCAAGTGACTTTTGCTCACAGCTAAGCAAGAAGTGCCGAATTTAGTTTGCACGGATCCTAAATCTAGCTTTTGAAGACTCTTCGTGAAGTTTAATGGCCAAGTTGAGTTTTGAGGTGTTTGACTTTTTTTCGGTCTGGCAGGTTTTATTCCCAGGATATCCGGGCCCACGAGATCCTGAACGGGAATGTGGAACCTTCGCCAGGTGCCCAAGAGCTGTATGCCATCCTGGAGGACTACACCGAAAAGTACACCACAGACTGGCAGCGCAAGAACCTCCGGCAATCCAATAAGGTGACGTTTAGGACCTGAGGGTGTCTTTGTTGGGTTTCGTATGACTTCTTCATAAAATGTGTTCTTGCTTGTCTAAAAGGAAATGTCACTCTCTTGTCTGCCTACCTGCACCATGTTAGTTGCTCCAGAGGCCGGGGAAAATTACATGCAAGTCTGGTTTGTACTTTTCAGTCAAGTGCTCCACCAGCAAGACCACGGCCTCCGGTGCAGAAACCCTCAGTAACCCGCAAAGCAGAAGGTAAGACTGTAAAATCCTTCAGAGGGGCTCTGTTAATTACACTGCTCTTCCACTTATTTCAGATAAGCTTATCTTATAGGGAATTGCAAGCAGGAGAGCTGTGACTGTACTCTAAGTGGCACACAGTGCTAGTATACTAGAGGACTTTGGTAAAAGGAACAAGGCTATGGAGAGACACTCTTAGGCTGAAAGGTGCACCTCAGTTTAACCTCATCCCAGACTGGGGTACACTTCCCAAAATGTCCCAACTATGTAAGTTGCTAACATTGTTAGCAACTATGCTTTTGGGAAACGTACCCTGATGTGTGGTACCTGAGGCAGAGCCAATAAATTTGAGACCTGAAATGACATAGATTAGGGAATTCTTAAAGGATTGCATGCTACAAAAAGTCCTCCCACATTAAATTAAAGCTGTGTGTGTGTGTGTGTGTGTGTGTGTGTGTGTGTGTGTGTGTGTGTACAAACATGGTTGTTGTTGGTTAAGCATTTTATTATGTCCCTTCATCTTGGTAAGGGTGTAGTTTGGCTCATGCTTGCTAACTAAAGGAATGCATGCAATCTAAGGAACTTTGATTCTGGGCTGTAATTTGGAAGTAGGATGTATGAAAGTTTGATTTACTTAGCTTTTTGTGTATTTTCAGCTATAGATGTTAAGTCATCCGTGTACCCTGATGTGGCAGCTCTGAAATGGGACAGTCCTGGTTAGTATGAATGTCTGTCTGCTTTCTTTTGAAAATGGTGATCATTTACAGTACAGCATACTGTACTTGTGTCCATTGTGACACTTTAGTGATGTGATACACTAAATATTTTGTAACTTGTCATCGAAGACTGTTTACTTTGAACTGGAAGAACCATAAGCAAGGGCTGCCCCAGTCACTTCTGCGACATATATTCAGTTGTGAACATTTTGCAAGTTTGATAAACCAATATTATTTTAACATCTCGCATAGGTTAAATGTGATGGTGGTATCATGCCAGGAAACTTGGTGAACGGGAATCCTTAAATATTAAGTACCTTTTTTTTTTTTCCCCCCCTCTCTTCCCCATGACTCTGTACTGGGTAGGTGGACGTATGGCAGATGTTGACTGTAGCAGAGGTTATCCACTCTGTTCCTATATGGAAGTCAAGTGCTTAAGTCCACTTTGGACCTTTCTATGCGACTTGCAAGTAAAATTGACAAAAACAGTCAATAAAGGTTATTGGTCCTGAGCCAGGCTCTATGGCCATTGTGACACGGTTTATCCGGAACGGTTCTGTTGAGATCCGGGTCTCGGGATGAAGCAGCTAAAGTTGTTGACTTATTGTCAGTCTCTGATACCGTGACCTGTCTGACACGAACACATTCCAGCAGCAGCGGGCTTGGTGAACGCCCACTGTGACAATTAATAGTTCATTCATGGTGAATTTTGTTTGTGTGGCATTAACCTACACATGCTTGTTCTTTGTCTGCCTTTTTAAAAACGTTTATTTAAACTTAAGTGAGGCACCAGTAGCCTCTAACAACTATGCACTACAATACCTCTCAATACAGCATCTCCGTGTCAGTGTCTATATGTTTTACGGCATTAAAAAACCCTTTGGGTTATTAAATACCATGGTATACCATCATACCGTTGAAACCTAGTAATAACTTCTAATTGCTTTTTTAAGAATCACACACGAGAAAGCTACATCATTAGCCAGGTCCTCCCTTCCGATTAACTCCAGCTCTATTGTACAATATAGTTTTGTTTTCAAACATTGATGGTGATTCAGTTGCCCTTGCTTAAGAGCAGACAAATTGCCCCACCTTACAGAAACTGTCAATCAATCACCAGACAATCATCTTTGTTAATCACCAGTAGTGCAGCAGTGCACTCTACCCTGTTTATAATAGCAGAGGGTTGCATCAGTATTACTCTAAATTCCCCAAAGTTCTGAATTTCCTTGGTTGAGTATACCAAATCAGATGCCCCAATTTTGGTTACTGTGACCATAACTGCAACACCGCCATTCACAGTTCTGTGAGAATTTCAGAAATTTAACTGGGTGATTATTGATGACGCATAATTGTTAAATAACAGTCAATATGTTCAATTGCATGAAATGGATTTTGTTGTAATGGCCTTGACCAAGATATTTGTCTATTTCTCTAGGAAATTGCCGACCAATATAAATTTGACATTTTATAACTTGCATTTCAGCAGCCTAATGGCATGCCTATATGCTCAATACAAGGATATTTAAATAAATGTGTTTGAACTAAATCAGGGCGCCTGAAGAATTTTTAAAGCATTCATGGTGTATGTAAAATATTTGCCCTTTAAATTTAATTCTCCTTGAGTTTTTCATTGGTAACTGCTTTCTATTGGTAATGCTCTCGCCAGTCCCGGAAGATCTCCATTTAGATCGCCTAGGCAAATGATGTTTCTATTTCCTGACCATGGAAATGGATAGGCATGAAATAGACACTAATTCTGTTTCCTAGTCAAAGACTCTTAAAATGGCCACATTCTATTTGCAGTTACAAAATGTGTAGCCCTGCAGAACTCAGCCCCAACTGTGGTCTAGTACTTAAACTTTTAATTGCTGGGTGCCCCTATTTTGATAAATTACTGTTCTCTGCAAATTTTAATATATTAAAGTGTGCAGTCAGTGTTATTACCAACAATTAGCCTTACTTAATTTCAGTAAAAGTGCATTAGTCCTTAAGTGTTTGCTTCTGTATTGCAACCGATGCACAAATCACTGCTGCATAATCCAATGCATCAGTCTGCATTGCATTCCATTATAATAGTCTTATCTATGGCACCTGCGCAGCTGGGAAATTCCCAGCCAGGTTCTTCCTTTGCTAAACGTGCTGTCAAAGCACTTTCACGGGGATGCGTGTACAAGCAGGAAACCACATAACTTCAGTGTCGTCGCACTGCCAATATAAACTAACAAAGCTCCCCAGCTGCATTCTCTTGCCAGATCTGTAGGATTGTCCTTTTTTTTTTTTTTTTTAACTCCTCTTAATTGCTACTTGCATTAGTGGGGGGTTGTAGAATGAAAGTAGTGTGCAATTAATGCAAGTTGTCATTATATCCTGGCATTCCATGGCAGTGGGAACAGTTTTATGTGCCTTAGGTGTTAACTTTTACATTTGAAAGATCATTCGAGAAAGCTGCCTTTTGTATGACAGTGGGCCAGACTGCCTGTCCTGTAGTTTCCAGCATATGCCGTGTTCTGTTTTCTGCCTTAAAACCAGTGCAGTAAGAATATTTAGAAGCAGGACTATCCCTTGATTAGACTTCACATAGTAGTTTTATCTATAAGAAAAATCTGCCATATATATATGCATATATATATTTTATGTCTTGTAAAATATTTATTTTATTTTTCCCCCCCCCGGAATGCAAAGACTATAATGCACATGTTTAAATCGCTTTTCATATGAAAATGGTAGGTCTATCTTGTTTTACAATGTAGTTTCATTGACATTTAACGTTAAATTGTAAGGTGCGTCATTTTAGAGTGTATTAAGTCAGTCATGTACACTAATTAGTATTTGGAGAAATACAGTTGTTCATTTGCACAATTAATTGTGTATTTTCCAGGTAAACGTGACATGTTTTCGGGTTACATTATTAAACGTGAATAATCAATCACCCGAAATAAGATTTATTAACATAATGTAGAGAATAATTCATATATTTTGACATTTTGCTATGTCAAAAGAATTAATCACTTGCCTTCCCCAAGAGGTCATTGTGAGTGGGTAGATTTTAAATAAGTGTACAGATTCCGGAACTTCTCCTCATTGGAGACTCATTTGATTTAATCAGTACTGCCATGCATAACTTATTCTTAATGATTTTCCTTTGCTCATGTTATTTCTTCATTTAATATTTTTGCCATGCAAATGTTATAATGCTGTATGTGCTGCCCCCTAGTGTATAGTTTGGACAGCACTTATGACAAGTGTGTGTCAACTCGTCTTGTGTAGAAATAATCCAGCATATTTTTCACCCGTTTCCTTTGATATAAGGATGTCAGTACATTTCTTTGTCACTACATACAAATTACATGGGAATACATTTAGTTAAATGTAGGGTAGCATGTTTCTGTAAATCAAGACTGATGAATTGTGCCCTTAAGAAATGTTTTGAGTTGTTTGAAGTACACCCCTGTTGGTATGAAATTGGAATGAAGCAGGTCTTTGGGCCCCAGTGAATCACTTGTAAATTTTATACAACTGGCTTAATTTCAGATGTTCATTTCCTTTGAAAATGTGTTTTGCTGTTGTCATCGTTGTTATACTTTCATGATGTTAACCTGGCATATTGAGCTAACTGATTCTGCTGCTGTTACTCTATAGCTCCATCCAGAAAAGCGGACAGGCCCCTAGTGGTCACTGCAGTGCACCCTTTCATGGGCCAGCAGCCTGGGGATCTGAGCTTTGACGTGGGAGACAAGATCACCGTGGTCACCAAGACCGACTCTCAGTTTGACTGGTGGGAGGGGCAGCTGCAGGGGCAAGTAGGCATCTTCCCTGCTAACTTTGTCTCCTTCAACTGAGCAGGGCGGGCAGCAGGTCAGTGGGAATATCTCCCGGCAGTTGTACTTGGTTTGCATGTCTTTTGATTTGTTTAATGTTACGTCACCAACTGAAGGAGGTATGATTTCTATTGCTTGTTAAGGCATGCCACAGCCCCCACTCATCTTCATTTAAGTGTTAAATATTTAAGGGCTGCAGGGACCAGTACAAAAATTAATTGGAAACTGATTAGCACTACACAGAATTTAATTTTGAAAGTTTTCTTAGTTTTGTAGGAATATGGTTAGATCTTGATTCTGTTACTGAATGTTGCACAATGAAGGATTTTTTTTGTATTCTTAAATGCATGTAATCTTTGGGCAAAATGACCGGTTTCCCAGCCCGATCCTCAACCCCATGACAGTCCACATTTTGGCTCCCTACATTCCTGAACCAGGTATTTCTTGTTGTTCTTTAGCTGGGAGGGAGCCAGTATGTTGACTATTTTGGGGTCCTCAGGCTGGGATGAGAAGCACTGCTTTAAAGGATTCTTCTAGATAGTGTTACCCACATGGCTGTCACTTTGTGTTTAGGGTGACTTTTTTTTTTTTTTTTTTTAACCAGTGTTCAATACTTTACAACTGAAATTATGTTGCAAAGTTTTTTTTAAAGGTGGGAGGCTGAAGTCCAGATGGCTGGCATATCCAGATAACTTATTGGCAGCAGTCACTGCCGTGTTTTAATTTTTTGTAAATTCTACCATTAAAAGAACTTCTGTGTCGTCATGGTTACAGCTTCAAACTAATTATGAATTTTGAATGACTGTTTGAACAGATATATAATGTCACACTATTTGAATTTCTAATAAATGTGTTGGATTATGATCTTTATAAATCTTTGCATTTTGGAATAATATGCAACCAGGGTCTTAATGTCCAGACCACCTCACCATATTTACATCAGAAGTCTGGTATGTGCAGGTGCCAAAAGGAAGATTTTCTTGTATTGAGAGCCACATATAGCAAGTACATTATGAAATTCAGACTAGAAAATTACACGTATAGCAAAAGATTCAGCTATATTAACTTATTCAGGAAAAGAATGAACAGTTTTGTCTCCAGAGTTGATCAGGAAAATGCAGGTCAACCATTGGATGAATCCAATCCACTTCCCACAGTAAGGGTTGTTGCCATGTCTTTGCATAAGGAACACAATTTGCTCCACACTATAATTTGTACAAGGTGTCTTGTCTTGCAGCATTTGCGGGAAAGGCTTGATGCAACAAAATAACCTGAAGCTCTCAACCTTCCTCCTAATCTTGTACGATGACTTTCCATTGCATTGGTCTCTGAGGTTGTTCTTCCTCAAACCCGTCCTATCTTGACTTCACATTCCTATATACCAGTGCTTCACTATTTGGTTCTCAGGGACCCACATGGACAATCCATGTCTTTCAGAAATACGGACTGTTCAGCAGGGAGCAGGAAAGAAGCAGTAATGTGCACAGTCTGTGGGTCCCTGAGGTCTGGATTGAGAAACACTGCTATATAAAGTGCTGACAAAGTCTTGGGATGCTTGCTTAATTCCGTGAAAATATTGCAAATTGGTTTTATAACAAAACGTAATTAATTTTACAAAAAATGCGTATCGCATTAGAAACAACCAGTAGTTTTAAGTGAAGCATTCATTTCCAGTAGTGATAAATTGAAACCCAAATTATAGTTCTAAAAGAGCTGTTCTGAGTTTAAAAGTTTGAGAAGCATCATTGGGTGTTTTTTTTTTTTAAATTGGTTACACCTTTGCAATAACGCTAAATGTGTATTGGTATCGTTTTTGGAGCCAATGACTACAGTTGCAATTAATAGCAAAATGGCAACAACAGAAGGAAATTGACTATAAAAAGGAAATGTCTGTGTGAGATGTGCAGATACGTTAAAACATTGCTTGTCAATGGACTTTTTTTTTATGAAGCCAATAAATTTGCAATGTCTTTACGGAATTGAGGAAGTGTGCCAAGACTATCTGTGAGCACTGTATAATCATCAGTCGGATGCTCTTTGTGAGGAAACCATGAATCAGTCAGGGTTTTGTAATGCAAATTTGTAATACATTTAAATAAAAACTTCTATTAACATTTGGACTTTACAAATTAAGAGTCATGCTCTGTGGTGGTTCAAGCCTGTTAAACTATCTTTCTTTTGTGCTAGTCCACAAACTTGATCCTGGAGCACCCTCACTGCACAGATTAGAGACCAGTGGCATCCCAAGAAGGACAGACTTTGTTTGCATGCTGTTGAATGTGGCAGCCAATGAGAGCATGTCGATGAAATCATTTATCTAAGATGGGGGGGGGGCAGTACCCATTGAAACCATCCTGTGGAAATGATCAGCATGCTGTCACTATTGTAACTGGCAGCAACTTTGTAACACCGGCGTCAAACAGGAAGGGTGGCAAGAATCCAACTGCAAAACTATCTGACATTAATGCTAGATGGCCATGTGGTACGACTGATAAGGGGTCACAGAACTTTTACTGTGTGCAAGGCACATGCGTCCCCCCAGTCAACTTAAATAATTTGTTTACGATGACTGAAAGTTGTTGGGCTGCCTTTGGGACATAAGGGACAGAAATGGAACTCCATGACTGAAGAACTGATCAAAGATTCACTGTAACCTGTAGGCATGATGATTTTCCTCAGATTTTCTGGTTATGCATCTTAAGTGTAGCTTTTTTTTTTTTTTTTGATCTATGCTTTGGTAGCGTTACACAAAATACAAAATTTGAGTTCTGTTTAATGGTTCTGTTCTCTTCAAAATCTGTGGTGGGTTCCTGTAATTAAATGGGACTGTAGTATAAAAGATACACGTGGTTCCTCTAGGATTGTGGTTCTTGGGGGTTCTTGCTTACTGTTGTGCTTTCCTCATTTATATATTAATGATTCACATTTGTAATGGGTACTGCAGCTAGTCAGCAGTAATTAACATTGTAGCTGGATCTACTAAGAGATTAGCCCTGCATTCTTTAGGGTTGAGGAAATAATCACAACATTCCCTTGTCCAGGACTAGTTCTGTCAAATTTGAGATGGACTGGCTTATGTTTGTATTCATTCTCGTATATAAATCTGAAATATTTTATTTTTTTGGAGGGCTGTGAGTTTTATGGCAGAAGTGTTCGATTTTCACCTATGGACTATCAGTTAACTTATTAACATCTTGTAAATCACCATCTTGCATGTCTCTTGTCTGCAGGAATGGACTTATCAGGCTGGTAAAATGTCCTCTGGCATTAATTATGCCAGTTAAAATAACACGCATGGCCACAGTGGGGCATGTCAAATTCCTTTGGTAAAAACAACAATAAATGTTTATACATGTCGTGAACCTGATCCAAGTGTCTAAGGAAAACACCACCTCCGTATAATTCATAGTGTATTATTCTGGAGGGTGATCCGCAGTGAATGAAAGGTGTTTATCTGCTCTTAGCTGGAATGCTGGGCCTCTATCCCTATTGTACTTAGAATCTGTCAACAAAACACACAAAGAAACCATATCCATTCTGAAGAGCCTTAATGTTTGTTAAATTAAATAATGAATGATGACAATCATGTTTTATTTACTTAAGAGTCCCATTTAACCAAAGAAGTAGATTTTGTCAAATGCATTTCTGTACCGACCTCATACATTAATAAACAAGTTTACTTTAATCTTCCCCTGCTGGTTTTCTTGTTCATTGAAACCTAGACTCCTTATACCTCCTAATCATTCTTTTATCAACAGAGATGGTTCAGGTACCAGAAACGGACATTCCTTATACCCCTGGAACCCTGTGTTCAACTAGCAATTTCAGTTCTTGGTACTTGGTTCTGGGGTTTAGAAATGGAGCAGATCCAGAGGGGCATGACATTGCACTTGAATTTCTCATATAGCTTCAGTGTTTTGTCTGAATCACTGGGCAAGAAGCAGTTTGCCCTGTAAAGGGAAAGAAAGTGGTCTTGTATCCAAAAGTTTGTTGGTTTACTTGCAAAGGAAATGGAACATTTGTTCTGTATACGCCATACACACACACACACAAGGTGCAAACCAATCCATTAATTGCTTGTAGCCATTTTTTAATGTCAAAAGGTTGCACCTAGCATGTAAACTTTATAGGATAAAGGTTTTTTTTTTCCCATATACCGCCAGCCGGCAGGATTCCCCCCCCCCCCCCCCCCCCCCCCCCCCCCCCTTAATTACTAAATATTTAAGTATTACTACGTTTGGTCTAAGAACAAAAACTTTTTTTTTTATATATATCCTAAAATTACTCTGACTCAATCCGTGTTCTGTCACATGCAGTACGAATTTTCAGCAAACTTGCTTGTAGGGAAGGGCGCCCCCTAATGGCGATCCGGTAAGTAGTACTGTGAGGAATTTAATTCCAGAGTTGTTTGAATGTAATTTTAAGAACTCAATATTTCAAAACTCTAATAAAATGTGCATTATCGATAAAATCCATCGGCCCAAATAAGCAAATACGTATCAAAAATGTACACAACCTACAAGTTCAAGAAGGTTAATGGTATTTATCTCAGGAAGCGTAGGGCACGAAGTTTTTTCACTCTTCATTATTTTCCATTCACTTTCCCCCATCTTCCCCACTTCATTGCATAAGTTTTTATATTTATACTAATATTGTAATGAACGGCATGACAGTAAACCACCTGCAAGCAATATAAAGTAATGTGCGCTCAAAGGAAGTAGAAGACAAATTGACTATTGTATGATGACGGTAAAGTGTGTTGCGTGTTTTTCTCAAATCGACCTGAATTGGGGGTCAATGCATAGACCCTTCCTGTTGCTCATAAAGAAAATTAAAATTAGTGTTTTAAGGACAAAAAAACAGCTGGTACAAAAGCGGAGATCATGTCCAGGCAAAAATCGGAGTCGTTTTCTTTCCAAAGCCAAATCAAGTGGTGGTAAAATCTTTTATCCTGTAAATGCTTTTGATCATTATCAGGTGTGAATCAGCTCTGGCGAAAAGCGAACGCGTTTTGTGTATTGGAGCAACATATGCCGCAGGCCTAAATGGAGAGGCTGCATTATACCTGATGATTAGTTTATGGCCAGTACAATGTTCGTGATCAGCCTGCCGTAATACTGTGAAAATAACATCAGGTATACTTTCAAAAGGGACAGCTGAAACATTGTACAGCTTATGGCGGCTGTTAGAGGTATTTAAACTTTAATAATAACGCGAATCTGAAAGAAGCGCGCTATTTTTTCCCAGATTGTTTGCCTTTTGTGACCTCTTGTGGCAGTTTTATGAACTAAAACTCTCAAAGTGGCTATCTTCGTCAAATCGTCATCTTTTATACAAAAAATTACTCTGTGAATGGAACGAGAATGTAACGCAATTTTCAGCATTAAGCAGTACATAAGAATTCGGAGCACCTTTAATGCCTTATTTCTAGTGAATTAATTTTGTTGTACTTCTACGGTGTAAATGTAGTGCAAACAAGTGTGTAGCCAAGGGTATTGATGTGTGCATTTTAAGTTAATTATGTAACGTAATTAAAAACTTTAAAGAAAGAAGGATTAGCATGTTAGTGGACCAATTAGCCATTCGCGGCACATTTAAGTCTCTGAAAAGAACTTTGAAACAGACTGGCACTGTAATCTAATTTAGTATATATTCTGTCTTTGTTGTGCAATATGCTAGTTGGTAATAAGTGGATTAATAACTTAATTAAATTGATAATTTGAATATTCGCCCCCTTTGAAGTTTTCCCTAAAAAACTACTTGAGACCTGTTTGGTATTTTATTTCAGGACTAAAACACAGTTCCTAGAGTTTCTTCTCTGATTTAATGAGGACTAAAATGCCTTGTATAAACGTTTTCCAAATTATTGAGGAAAAAAAAAAACTGGCAAAAAAACAATGTTACAACATTTTCATTAAGACAATGGCAAACGAAGACTGAATGCTGCAATTTAGACTTTGTGGGGAAATTAATATTGTCAGTTCTCCATGTTCATTTACTGACGGTTATTCATAGAAGGGATGTATACATATTACACACCACTATAACATTAATATTATTAATATTTATCATAAATATGTGAAATGTTTTTCATTACCCTATTCTTGGTTTAGGCCCAGTTTTCATCACACCCTGAAAATGAGCTATTGGATACGCCTAATAGAGAGAGGGGGTAAAACGTATGTTTGCCTGAACATTGCATATTTTTCTTTTAAAATACAAAGTTAAAATGCTCCGCTAGCTATAGAAGAGAACACTAGTAAAGCACTGGTTGTTTAAGCATCAAGTTGTCTTTGTGAAACGTGCATTATAAAGTAGGACTACGTGTTCTACGTACGTGTTTAACGCCTCGTTTTAAGAATATTTTTATTGTAGGCCTATACGGTTGTTCACGTTGTGCAACATATTCTACCCTCTAGAATATCTACCCTCACCTTGAACTCACCTTACTATGTTATCAAAGATGAGGGCGGGGTTTGGGGGAGTGTATTATTTGATCTAAAGGTGAGCACTCCCTGAGTCATTCAAAAAGGTGAGCAGGACAGTAGGCCTACTTCTAATATAATTATTTTAGTACAAGGAAGACAATTTAACTGCGGATACAAGGCGGACATTACTGTCGACGTAACCTTATTTATTTGTATAATGCCATCTAGCATCAGAACCCCATCCACGACAGTAGGACTTTCTACACGGATTTTGGAAAAAGGTCCTGGGTATTTGAGAAAACAGCTGGAACTGGAAGGGGATGTTAAAAATCAACGAAGTGCAGTGGAAATGTTAGCGGAGAGTAAATCGAGATACGTGAAATGCCACCAGGTGATCAAGAGCGATCCAATGGATCACACCGACTCATACACTGGGGGTACCGATGGAATATCCAATGGAATTCATAAACGCTGTTTTAATAACTATGCTGCACGCGTTAATATGGAAAATCATCACATACATGCGGAAAATGATGGCTCATATAGGAAAAAAGAAGGCATAGTGCGTCGTAGTAGCTCCAAAAGACAACGACCGGACTCCCTGCTAATTTACAGGCAAAAAAGTGAACTCGTGAAAGGCCCAGCGAATGGAAACCCTACTGAGAGTTTGATCAAGAGGCTGTTTCTTAGCTCTACCAAAGATAAGATGGGTGACCAACCTGAGACGCCAGTGAACTTACTCAATGAAAAAATACACACAAAATGCACAGAAACTACAATGCATCACCAAAGGATCCTGGAGCATAAATCACCAACCTTCATAAGCGAGGTTCGTAAAGCAGATGGAGACACTGACGTTCATCGGAAAGGCGTTTTTCGCTCGTATTCCGATGTAAGTTCAAGATACTCCAAACATGTCGCCGACTTCGAGACCTTTTTCAGGTTTTGCGGACTCGGCGCTGATGTAGTTGAATCACTTGGGATGGAGAACTTTTCTGCAAGATCGGGTGAAATTTCAGCGAGGATCCGCAGCATCAGCCAGTCAACTTTAAATGACGAGTTTACTCGGGAGAACTGCAAAAGTAACGGACTTCTCCAGGAGGACCTCGATAAAAGTGTCCCTCAAGGGCTGTCGGTGGTGGAGCGCAATGCGAGAATCATAAAATGGTTATATAGTTGCAGTAATGCCAGGCAGTCGGGAAGGGTATTGCGCGACCTTGACTGAAACCTTTAACTTTTTTAAAATATAACAGTCCAGTAGCGCACTATGAAAGTGAACTATGAACTGAATAACCTCATTAAGGTAAAAGCTTACTGCGGTTCATTTAGGTGTGTTTATGTATTTTGTTATACGTAAATTCCACTGTTAATTTACTTTTTACCTTGACAATTTGCTTCAGTGAAGTTCTGTCGTAACATGCCAATTCTAGCGCATAGCGGTCAATGTGTATTCGTCTTCATTGTCTCCTGTTTTAGACGACTCATAGTTGATTGACATTTTATTATTACCTTTATTGTCTTTGAGATTATGATAGAAGACTTGTCACGCGGTGTAAAATGTGCAATATTAGTTTTATTTAGGTAATAAATTAAAGCGACAAATATTATGGTAACCTTATGGTTAATGTTGCTTGAATACACCTGGGGGAAATGTGGGGATTTTTCTGTCTAAATGAGTGGTTCAGTAGTTCACCTCAGGTTAAATACTCTGCTCTTTTGAGCACTGAAGGAAGGTCCGGAATAGTCACGTAGCAACTATGAATTTAATAATACATTTTATACAGGCCTATAGGCCTAGATATGTCGGGGGAAACAGTGTCCGGTTGAAAAGGAAGAAGTTTCCTTCAAACATTACTATTTATCAAATATTTAACCGCCTGTTTGTTTCTTCTATCAGTAACTGATGAGACTAAATGGGAATCACCATTTGAACAATTCAAAAACTGCCTGTCTCATAGTTCCTCAGGCATATACACTGCACATTTTCAGTTTATAAACATTTTCAAAGATATCGCTATTTCAAATGCCTTTGTAGCAATACAATTTTGTTAGAACCCAAACACTTTTCTAATGCAGATTTAAAATGTAATAGATTTTCAAAAACAACATTATGATGAAGATGTCCCTTGCAGGGTATTTATGCCATAGCATTGGAGCCAGACCAAGCCATGCCGGACTCCGCCCCCAACTACGTTAGAGTGATGTGATTGGCTAATGAATGAGTATAACCCAGATCCTGTTTATCGGGCTGCTGAAGTGAATGCATGTGTACAGTAAATTGCTATTTTCATTTTTACACATTTATAGCAAATACTCCTATTAATGGACAGAATCGATTTCTCTCTCAGCTCACGTGTGTGCAATTAAATAACTATGCAAATAACACCGCAAACTCCATGTTTAAACAGTTAAAATAATGTGTTGTCGTGCTGCTGTTTTAGTTACGGGAGAGCGGTCAGTGATATTATACTGTTCGATCAAATTGAAAAAGAATTCGACATCGGTATTAAGGAACTTACCAACAAGATTTTCTTTTGAGGTGGTTAAAAGATTCGTCGTGGTGCCATCAGATTTGCGAACCTTACCTTTGCAGATTTTGCAATGAACTATTGTTACTTCCAAAATAGTCTTTAAAATAAACATGGAAAATAATCATAAGACTGTGGATCGTCATCCTGTCTTTAAAAAAAAATCATGATATGAAACTTTCGCAATATCGCCCGCCCTTAAATACTTGCATCAGTGGCAGAACTTTGCCCCACTGGGCCCTGGGGCAAAAATAGACCCTGCCACCCCACCCCCCATTCAAATTCATGATGCAATTGGTATTCTACAATCAGTGATCAATTTAGTGTATACTAATGTATGGTCTGTTCAAATTACTTTTGGTTAGTAGACTAATTCAAGTTTATTTCTGCATGGTAAGCCAGTACCATTTCATTACAGGATGTCAGACTAGCCTGACACACAGTACCTTCTAAAGCAGGGGTGGGCAATCTTACCCACAAAGGGCCAGTGTGTATGCAGGTTTTTGGGATAACCTTTACATTAGCGGTTCAAACCCAGGTGTGAGGACTCTTTAGCCAATCAGTCCTCTAATTAAAGCTAACAAAACTGGCATACACAGCGGCCCTATGGATTAGATTGCCTACCCTGTTCTAAAGTCTATCCTTTATCAGTACACCTCATTCCTAAGAAGTATTTCAGTTTGTTGTGTTAGTTCATGAATACTGCTGATTGATTTGTGCACACAACCCACTTTTTTCTCAGAACCACACCACAGGATCTGTGGGTATATTCAAATTAACCAAACAATCAATCAAGTTACTTTAGTTTAGATGCCCCAAGAATGTCAGTCTCCATAGATTTATTAATAACACTGAGAGACTATGTGGAAGACCTATGTATAATTTCCATTTAATATGTTAGATTTGATGTTCTCATTCAAATTTATCCTAGAATATAACTCTCCCTGGGATGAAACCTGTAGATTCACATGAACCAACCATGTCTTGTTAAAAGAATTAATTTGTTGTGTAATATTCAAAGATTAAAAACTTTAAATAGCATGGATATAATAGTTATATTGTACCACTGTTAAGCTGCATGAAACTGGACCTTCCCAAACGGCAAGTAATGCAAAGGATAAGCAGCACAACAGTGACGGTAAGAAAACTCAAAGCAAATGTACAGGTTTAGATCATGTTTTAATGTGTCTGATGCATTTTAGATGTATTTATGAAATTACAGCAATATTTTAGTATTCTTTCATAATCAAATTGTTTTGCAATAAAACACTTTTGAAACAGATTATTTGTCAAATTTGAATGTGCATTTATCAGTCATGACAGCTCAGCCTTGGAGAGGAATACTGGTGTTTGCTAATACATGAACATGTTGATCATTTAAAAATGAGTAGGTCAGCCATTGTACAGTGAAACAAGTGTGCTGAACACTGAGTGGAATTTAGGTTACATAAATCTTCTTAACTTGACCAGTGTTATGATCTTACTCTATAATGCTGGGGATTACGGCTGAATAGAAGCCTAAGAAATATTTTAAGTACACTGTAAAGGATTTCTTAAAGGGGTAATTAATCACTGTGGAATTCAAGTATTCCAGAATGCTTTTCCTGCAGTAGGACAAAAATGTTTTAAGTTAACCATACAATGCCGTGTTGTTCAAGTAGTAAATCTACGTCTAGTAAATCCAATTAAAATGTTCTATTTTTCTACACATTAAAAGAATTAATTTGTTGTGCAATATTCAAAGATTAAAAACTTTAAATGGCATGGATGTAATAGTTATATTCCCACTGTTAAATTGACTGAACAAACTTTATAGAACCATAATGCAAATAAATAAACCAAAAAAGTTGTCTGGTCAGTCCTTTCTCTACTTAAATTTAGCTTGGAGTCACCAGGGAAATGTAATTCTTTATGCATTAACGTTTTAGCCATTATACTATTCTTAATAATCATTATTAAACCTTTTTCATATGTTCTAAGAAAGAAAACAATTACATAGAGTAGTTCTTTAGGTTACATAAAGGTTCCTGATCTATGCATCGTAAGCCAGGAAAAACAAATGCTTCAAATCAGTGTCAGTGATCCTATGAGACTGACAAGCTGCAAGAGTTATTACCTATTGAGCACTAGTTGGTGCAGCTTTGCCATCTAGATTCTACATCACAGTCCATACAATACAGGACACATTAATAATCATTAATACTGTCCTGGAGTAAAGGAAATTACAAATAAACAAAACCAACAATACCAGTATTCAAATTTCTTTCATTCTGATTCTTTAAATATGAAAGGTATAGTTTTGATTTTAGCGTTCTCACAAAATGAATGTTTGACAAGGGCTGTAATTAGTATTTCCCAAAAATATTTCTTGATTTTTGTTCCTCCTTACTTAGGCTGCCTTACAATGTTAAACTATTTCAACATTTTAAAGTCCAAAGATACCTAGCACTGTTACAAAATTTAAAATAAATATGTACAAATTTTAAAAACCAATAGCAGCACCCATCCAAGTATGATTCTATTTTAGCCCCTCCCACCTTTCAGAAACACCCTCTCGGCTCCGCCTCCTAATTACGGCCAACCTTCCCTTGGCCCTGGCTGTCCACTGGATGCTGGGGATTTTGGATTCTATCAGGTTGGTGTACCTTGAGGAGTCCTCCTCCGCACCAGTCCAGGAGGAACACCTGTCCAGCTGTAGCGTGGCATCAACATTGCCATCGCCCACAGTGCCGGTCACCTCGCTGGGATGTGCTGCTTCCCAGCTCTCCGTCTTGCCCACCCTCTTGGCGGGTGTGATCTGCCTCATCGACATGGTAATACTGTCCCAGAGGCAGTGACCCCTTTCGATATAGCTTTTCTTTCTTTCCCTATCCTTGTGCTTTTTGCTGGACCTTTTAAAAGACAGAGGCCATAATAATTACCACTTCAGCATATCCAGCAGTAGTTCATTCATTGAACTTCCCTTCTAACTGTCTTTAACATTCACAGGAAGGAACATAGACCAAAAACTTTTAACATTAATGACACTGTACTTGAGAGTTACAGATACGAGTTAAAGGTTGCAGATTCAGGCAAATTAAGCACATAACCTAACATCTAGTTACCTATTTTTATGTTTTTATTTAAAGATATGGCTCCTGTTCTAAGCATGTTTTCATCTTCTCAAGAATTAACTTAGAATTTAAACATTTTTATGTGTATATCAAAAGTAATGCCTAAACTAGACTATTTTCTATCAAAGCAAAATATTAAACGATTAAACCATTAATTAGAGTTAGGATGCATCTTCTTCCAAATGCAGGTTTAGTGATAACAGGCGGCGTTAGAAATTAAGTTACGATTTACCCCTTTCCATTTTCTGAAGCAGCTGTCAGGAGAGTGCGCTCGTCTTCATCTTTAAACAGAGCTTTCTTGTTTTTCTCTCTCTTGGATTTTGATTTTTTACTTTTGATCTGCTGTTATAAAAGGAAAAATAACCAAGATAAGGACAACATATTTTGATAAGTCAATAATCCACTGTTTAATGTAATAAAATTCTATCTAAGTCACCCTTTGGCAGTACTGCTGTATTTCTGTAATGTAAACATTACCCCAAATGGCTGGCTATCAGATTTCCTGTTTTCACATTTCCCAGCTCTGCCTGTATATAGCTTACATTTTCTACCTGTGTGTTTCATTTCCAGTTACCGTTGCTATTCCTAATAAACCTCTTAATGTGAACCTCTCCTTTGGGATTAAACATCAACTGCAACAATGGCTATGCACACATGATATTGTTTAATAGTAGCATGCCGACCAGGGTGTACCCTGCTTTGTGGCATGTGTTTGTGCTTCCTGGGATAAGCTCTGAGCTAACCATAGGGCTGTTCCACGAAACAGGATTTCTTGCTTAGCTGGATAACTTGTAGGATTTAAGGTAGTTTGGGCTAAATATAAGGGAATGAAAATGAAGTCCATTTAGCCCAGACTACCTTAAATCCAAGAAGTTATCTGGCTAAGCAAGAAATCCTCCTTCATGGAATACCCCCATTACTCTGCATAGTATGAGGGCTAACAAAGAATGGATAGATAATAGAAGAATATTCATTCATCTATTTTAATTAGCACAGGGTAATGATACTGGCATTCTATTGTATACTGCTTCCAGTATAGTGGTATTCCTATAAATTGAATTAGGAAGTTATATTTTAATGAGATGTACAAAAACAAACATCACATCATTTCAACTGCGCATGCTGTGTGTGCTCCGTGTTTTATAATAAAAACCTAATAAAACATATTTTCTCATTTTAGAATGGCTTGTGAAAGCACTGATATAGATTCATAGTATATTACATGTTCAGGTCTTAGAAGTGTCTTTTTTTAGCTGTTTGTTTTGTTTTGTTGCATCTAATTTCTTACAAAGATCTAAAAAGAATAGGAAACAATCCTGCAGCAGCAACAAACATCACAAATATTTGGAGAGAAGCCATGTGGGAAGTGATAACTTTTAACAAAATGTTTATAGGGAAAAGTCGACAGACATTTTGTTAAAAAATATTTTTAGAAAATGCTTGAATGCCAACAAGCTTGGAACATCACGAAAGTGCAGGCTTGTTTACCTTTGACCCGGAACTTGCGATTTCCTCCTTAACATCTGGATCTTTATACTAGAAACAAAGGCCATTGAATAACTGGTAAGGAACAGCAGCGTATATACAAATACCGCAACACAGACATCTTCCTGTAGACCAAGAAAACTATTTCTGGAACAGACAAATGACTGAGCTTTGAATGTCTACGGGAAGAAAGGGAATTTCACATTGTTGAGGTCATGGTTTTTAAAAGTCAAACACTTTCTGCATATATCTTTGTCATTAACAAATTTAAAACATACATTTTCTTAATTAATTAATTTATATATATATATATATATATATATATATATATATATATATATAAAATACACAAACACACACACAACTTATTAGAATTCTAAAAGTGTTTAGTTTTAAAACAATCGAAGCTAAAACTTTCATGAACCTATATTTAGATAATATTTGTTTGCAAAAGTTTATTTATTTAAGCTGGAAGCGATTGTGATTCTAATAAAGTTTTGTTTTATTAATAAAACTATTTGCGTCTACTCTGATCACACCTCCGGAGCACTCGTTTGTAAAATATTGGTCTCTAGCCAGTCGGTGTCCGGCCATGGCTGAAAAGTGTCTAATTTGGTTATTAATAAATATTTTCCCTTTCGTGCTTTTGCTTTTTGGTTAAATAGGCCTATTCCAAGTTAAAAAGGAATCATTTGACTTTTACGTCAATGTTTGACTTCGGTTGCACTGAATACATTCTATTGTAGGCGAAATCAAAAAAGTAATTGCAAAACAATTTAAAAAACTAAGTTAAGTACTTTTTAGCTATTGTAAATTGACGTAAATAACAAATTAAGGAGTACTGAATTCCGAGAGAAAAAAAAACATACATAGCCAGGGTATCACATTTTATCCCTGATCACGGCTGTATAGGTATAGTATTGGCATACGCAATAGAAAATGCAGTTATGTCAACTTTTACTTATCAAATGGCAGCATTCAGAAAACTTGTCTATGCCACTAACTTTCTTACCTTAAAAGTGCGCCGGTGACTGCACAACATGTCGTCGTCTTCCGATGCATAGTCTATCAACACTTTGCTTTTATGCTTCCTGAACATATTTCTTGAACCACTTTTTATATATGTATTTTAAGTAAAACGCTGATGTAGGCTACCTACGGTCGCGAAACTGTGAATTCAGGCTCATAAAGGTCTGCAGCATGCAGATGGCAAGTGATGTCTGCTGCCCCAACAGTAAGACTTGAGCCCCTGCGATCTTACAGAGAGATTGGAAAGTTTCGGGCAAAAAGACCTTTTAAATCTTTCTTCTCACATGATTAGGGGGCGGTGATACTTGCATTGAACTCAGCCAATATTGAAAACCGATGAGTTGTCCGACTTTTTTTTTTTTTAAACCTGGAGATACAGTACAAGATACCTGTGACCTTTATATACTTCTCAAATCTCGGTCACCCAAGTCTTCGATCGGCAGGACAGTTCGGGGGATTCCGCTATCTTTGCCGTGACAGTGACTTGAAAAGTTGAAAAAGGTGTGCCAGAAGTACTGATAATTAAATCACGCTAGTGGATAAATTTTTAGTTTCTTACGTTAATTTTGACATTTGTCAATATAAATGTAACAGTTTATTTCTAAGATTATATATATTTATAGATAAGATTTTTTTTTGTTCCACAACTTTGATGCTCATTATTCGGTGATATTTCCCGACAACAAATTCAAGAAAAGAGCAGTCTTTACGCTTTTATTTTAGCAGCATTTTGTGCCACGTGTTCGAAGACATCGATTCTTATATACGAGGAACTGTCTGAAACCACCACCAAAGTATCCACAGACCTCTCGGTGATCAAATATGCATCTAATTTTAGTCTGCTTCATGTCATTGTGTAGTACATCCGTTTATATTTATCTCTCTGGAACATTTAAGGGGAAATACAGCAGTTACCTGCTTATTTAAAAGTGTACGGTTGAGTTTTGCTTAACTAACTGTGTGTCATCACTTTTAAGGAGGCACCCTTTTAAGGTCATTTCAAAGGAGTATCTCCCACTTAAAGGACTCCATATATGTCAACAGCAGACCACTGTAAATTTCTGGAACCTTCTAATGCCATTTTTGTTCTGAAATACCTGAACTGATTTCTCCTTAGCTAACTCAGTTTTTCTGCTGATTAAGAAACCATTATTGTAGTTGTTACATAATGGAAACGAGTCACATATACACTATGTATTCTTCTGAACTTGGGAAATCTAGGTTTTCACTCTGAAATAGATGTTTTGAAGTGATGTCATTGGTAAATTGGGCATTGGATTCCATTGTGTGTTTTTTATCATTATCAGTTTCAGATAAACAGCCCCAATAATCATAGCGACAGATGGTAAAACATTGTCACGTCTTTATCATTAACATTATATTACATTAACATTTTTGTAAACTGTCAATAAAGTTGGGCTATATGCAAAGTTACAGTCAAACAAAAAGGTTTATGGGAAGGAATTTGGAACGTGCTCCTAAAAACTAAAGAATGAAATTCATTAAAAAAAAAAAACACCATTTGTGAAAAGTCATACAATTTCTGCATTGAGAACATCGAGATAATTCAGCATGAGTTCCTCTTTTTATCTCTTATTGACTCAATTGATTGTCCCTCTTAAATAGATTGTTTTACTTTGCTCTGCTGGCATTTTTTTTTTTTAAAGAACAAATAAGCGAGGCCTCCATGCCTGCTTCTCTCTGACGCTTTAGCTGATCTGCTTTTTATGAGAGTCTAGCTTCTCCAAGCATGCTGATTCATTGTCATCCCTCCCCAGGACCAGCTCTGCTCATAAACCTCCTGACAAATGAGCAAATACTGCATCACCTAAGTAGGGTTAACGCGGTGAGGCTAATCTGCAAGCTGGAAGCGTGATTCGCCGGAGTCCTGCTTTTGATTTTTTTTCACGTTTCTGGTGTCTTTAATTCTTTTTTGTGATTACCTGTCATTTTAATTCATGGGAGAGAAAACACAATTTGACCTGTGACTGGATAATACAACACAGTTTGCTGTTTAAAATGATAATAATTCTCCCTGCTGCCTTTTTTCCAGTGGGGGAAAAAAAAGATTTTTTTTCTATCTTTATGGATTATCACCCATGTGCAACCGGCAGGGACACAGTAGGGGCATGGATACCCTGGCTGATTTAGGGGGCCCATTTTGTCAGGGGCCCCAGAAATTCTAGCTACACCCTGGCCCAGATTTATACACCCTATGGTGATATAACATTCACCCAAGGGCATAGGTCTGGGTGTGGACAGTAGAAGCACGTCTCTGCCAGTATTGCGGGGTACCGTGTTTTTATACAGGCGGGACATTTGGGGCTGATTGGATCCCTACCAATGCTGAAATCAGACCTACGCCTTTGCATTAATCTAAAAAAATATATATATATCTCGTAAGGATGAAAAGTGTATTCTGAACTCTGGCTTTGCCAAAATACAAGTGTGATCATTTTTTATTTTTTTTAAGTTATGTTTGCAAAGTGGGGACTGGCGCACAGCTATCCACAGCTGAGCACTCGCAGGTCACCCAAAGCGCATCCTCTCTGCGTGTCAAATGCTACTGCAGGCTACCGTGTTTTTGAAGCTGGAAAGTGACATTTACTGCCAGTGCTCTGTGTTTCCGCCACTTGATTTGGAAAATCTGGAGCAGCCCTCTGGAGTGCTTGAAGTTCTCATCTGAAATTCTGATAAAATTAGTTGCTTCCATTTTCTGAAAGGCTAAAACATTTAGATGTTTAATGGATTACATGTTTCCTTCATGATCAGACTGGTTATTAGAACATATAGTATTATGGTAGTTCCAGCATTGGGATTTGTTAGTTCATCTATTTGAATACTTGTACTACATTATGTGCTGAGTTCTGTTGCTTTAACTGGGTTCTGACATTTTAATATCATTAAATGTTTTTATTTGTTGTCATTAAAGAATCTCAACCTTCAATTCGATATAAAAATAGTCCAAACTGTAATGACCAGGCAATCATTCACAGCCAAGCCATATATTTACAGCAGTGTAATGTTATATGTTTTTCAACTATTATCTTTATAATCTATTCCGTAGCAACCTTTACTGATTTAAAATTTTCTAGTAGACTGTGTATGAATGTGTATGAACATTTTTAATTTTTGAATGTTCTTGGCTCTTAGTTTGGGTCAGTTAAAATTAAATGATTTGATACACCATGGTTTGTTACTGGTTATAAGGGTTAGTGATTAAGAACATTTAAAAGTTTTGTTTTTTATGTGTCAATGAAGCTAGTCCTAAAAAGAGAAAACCCCTGGATTGTTTTGTAACACATTTTAAACACTATTTGTGCTAAACATTTGCCAAAATTGTCAAATATTTGAGTATAGTCCCGCAGTTGAGTTTTCTTGATAATATTTAAAAATGTAAATATCAAATACATTTCTAAGCAGAACATCAACGTTCAGCTGCCGCCCCTTCTAAATAATACTTAAGGAATATTCTAGAAATCCCAGCCACTTAATGCACCTTCTTGTTTATAAAGCGTTCATACAGTACATGAGCTTATCCTCATGACTCTCTCTATTCCCCTGATCTCCTGTACTGTGGTTCTCTCATGCTCTGTAACTCTTACTTTGTTCCCTAGGTGACAGAGAGCCTCTTAAGAGGCTTTTAATGACCTCGTAGAGCTTGGTTTTCTTTTATAAAAAATCTATTCAGGCCTACACCTACTGGTTGGCAAGTCCCATGGAAAGGTTATCCAAACTCCCTAATACCTCTGCTGCAGCCAGATGCACATTGCCTTCTCCCCCAGCAAATTGTTGACTGCTTCTTTCTCTCTCAGCCAACTGCTGACCACTTCTTTTTCCCATAGCCAATTGTTGACTAGCAAGAGGTGTGCAAACACTTCTAGCCTAATTTTTGGGTGGCTTAAGTCCCACATGTAAATTGTGCCAAAAAAAAACACTTGCATGAATGTGCATACTATAAATTTCATCTGAATAACTGTCCTCATACCTGATCATAATTGGATTGTACAGGACAATGTGTGACTGCAGGTTAGGCTTCTGTGCCAGTGGGCAGAGGGTTGCTGGTTCAAATCTCATTACTGGTAGAACAATTTCACCGCTGGGCTTTTGAGCAAGGCCCTTCACCTCAGTTACTCCAGGGACTGGCTGACTCCGCTCTCCCACTTTTACGATGCTTTGGATATAATCATCTGCCGAAGCAATGACTGGAAAAACTGATATTTCACAATTTAGGGATGATAAAATACGGTATACAGTATATCGATATGGTTTTATGGTCTGAAAAGCCAATACCGGTATCTCTTAAACATAAATGAATTGTCAGCAAACACGTAATTACACATAATGACATTCTACTCAATGGATGCAAGTATTGTGCACTATTTTTTTTTCTCTTTTCCTGAAACTGCTACATCGACATATCTGTCACTATTATTAGTGGGGCTGTTCATGTGAAATGACAACTTTCTAGAGGTCTTTGTTGTGAGCTACAAATACTGTACCTTACAAAGGATTTTGCCTGTTACAGGGAATAACTTAATACACCATATTATAGTAAATGTTCATTACAGCCATACATTAATAAACAATTTTAAAATAAAAACATTTTTTTTAATGTTTTTTATCAATGTAATGACAGTATTCACGGCCACTACTTTGTTGCTAGTATTTGTTTTAAACCAGTAAATAAGCATTTATTTTTAAATGCTGTCATGTATGTGTATATTTAGTCGGATTCCAGAATGTTCTTTTCTTCTTCTCTACTGGGTGTCACCAAATGACTTGATGTGCACAGTGAGATTTTGAAATTTGTAGCCTGTCATGTTGATGTCCACTGAACCCATCAGCATATTCACAGACTGAATTAAGGGGTGATGCATGTTTTCTGGTTCATATGGCACAGCTGGGGTCTCCGTGGTTGGAGGTCAGGTCATGTCTCCCTCTGTTACTCGCACCCGGAATGTGGACTGTAGTCATTTGACTCGCTTCTGCCTTTGAGTCTTTGAGGTACAGCGCAAGAATGCAGCTGGATTTAAATCTGGCAAATGTTTTGACATAGTGGATAAGCCTCATCATAATTTCCATTTAAGTTTAAAGGAATCTGTGGCAAACAATAACATACCACAGACAGAACAGACGCTGAGACTGAAAATGATGTGAATTGATTCCAGGATTCAGTAGAATTAGAGTCATGGCTGGACATTAACTGGCATATCTGTCAATAAAAACATAATCTACTTTATATTAGGATAACATCAAAAGGTTAGATATTTTGACATTTCACTCTAGTGGCTTGCGTTAAATGAATGTTTTTTTTTTTTTTGGTCATATTTTGTATCAGTTTTTAGAATTAAAAGAAAAAATCACCAGCCCAAAAAACCGAAATTGTAAATGAACTGGTTTTTAGTTTGTTTTCATTTAATGTTAAGTTAATGTTCATTTGTTGCCATTCAACAGATAAGAAGTGTTAGAGTCTTGTAAAAACCTGGATTATTAATATTTTAAAAATAAGAAGCAAAAAGAACCTTCTGACCTAGGTAATCCAATACCAGAAAATCTACTGGTATAGCTTCTTAAACAATTACCGTACTTTATCAGTGTGTAGTAAAAATTTATACATGTTATTGTTTGCCTTAAGCCTAATTCCAGCAAATGGTTCCAAAAACATGGACCGGTTAAAGTAGAATTCATTACAACAAATTAAAATGACGGCGCCGTCCACACCGGAATAATGCAGGCACTATAATGAACAGGCGAGGTCTGAATTCGAGCTGGTTACGTCACTTAATTGAGACCATGAACGGGAAGGACCAGTGACGTATTTTCTGGCGACGGACCGAAATAAGGTTGCCGCGCTGAAAACGGAGAAGGAAGAAGATTTAAGTGAATGTGTTTCAGTCAGTTGTTCTGGTTCTACGGGCTTTTATACTTGTGACGCAAATCCAGTAAGAGACTGGTTTGTTTCGATGTGATGAGTCCGTCCTTTAAGTTCTGCAAAGTGCGTTGTGGACAAAGCAGAAGCTCAGTCGCACAGTCGAAATATTAATTCCAAGCCACTTGTTAGCTAGTTTGCTAACCAATTGTGTTCACACCAAACAGAACCTCAGATGAGAAGCCAGTGTGACAGATTGAGGGTTTAACTGCACAGTTTGCAGGCAAGTCCCAACAGAATCGACCTTGGTGACAGGGAGCGGGGCGATGAGAAAGTCCAGTTGTCTCAATATAGTACACAGAGGTCTGTTTTGTTGTAATATACTTTTGCTTGACACTGCAGACTCATTCCCACACTCCACTATGTTGGTATTTACAGCAGTTGGCTGTAATCTTATTATGTTTTCGTACGCTTCCCAGCCAAGATGAAGCGAAGGGTGGAGCAGGTTGACCATCTCAAGAAAAAGAAGAAGCGCTTGGATGATTCTAGTTTTGATGAATATGACGACGAGAAATCGTTCATATCAAGCAGCCAGGGTACGATGTTTTCTGTTTATTAACAAAACGTTCCGTAAAAATACTAGGTGTAATTAGGTCCAGGTCTAAACATTGAGTCATTGTGTCCTGTAAAATGATATTTAAAAATAAAGAATTGCATGTTTAATTAGAATTTATTAATTCTATATATTATTCTTATATTCTAGAGTTAACATTTTCAATGTATTAACTTTTGGGTAGGTATAAAAACTCAGTCTTTCACAAAAAGAGTGCTAAATTAGAATTAGAATGTACTTGATTGATCCCAGTGGGAAATTCTGAATTTGATATGAGTTCTTCAGCTGTACAGAATATTCATACGGGGCTCGATTGGGATTAAAAGTCAGCCTTGGACTTTGGGGTCCCCCATTGCCCACATGCCATTAGCCCACCAGGAAAGTGCCCAGTATGTCAGATGACCAGTCCAGCCCTGCCCATACATCATTTTCCATCAGCCGAGCATCAGTTGTTGAGTGTATCTAGGCAGTGTGCATGCATCACACTCTGTACTGCACACTTTTTGTGTTACATTGTGTTGCACTTGGTCTCCTGTGCATGTTTCAGACTCCAGTCAGAGTGACTCTCACAGTGATGCTGAAGAGCAGAGGCCCTTGAAACCCTCCCCATCTCATCATGGATCACAGTCAGAAAGCTCCCAGGACACGTCCTCCAACAAGTTTTCTATGTACAACAGTGTGTCACAGAAACTTATGGTGAGAAGTTACATGGCCTCTGTCCTTCAGCCTTTAACTGGCTCAGACTTTAGGGCCATTATTTTTTTTGCATTGACTTTCTTTAACTTTAGAATCAGAGTCAGAATTAATTATCTCCAAGTACTTTTACATACAAGGAATTTACTTTTGGGAATCATGCAAAGCAATCCAGCAATATAAAAAATGTAAATAATGTATATAATTATAAATAATATAAAAAATTTTAAATGAAATAATGTTCTTAGTACAGTTAAAGTGCATATAAAGTGAAATGTAGCAACAGGTTGATGCTAAATCACCATTTTTGTTTTTCATTTTTACTTTGAATCTAATCTTTCATCTACCTGCCACTCATAGGCCAAGATGGGCTTTCGAGAGGGCGAAGGGCTGGGGAAATTCGGACAGGGCCGGCGAGAGATAGTCGAGGCATCAACGCAGCGTGGGCGCAGGGGTCTCGGCCTCACCCTGAAAGGCTTTCAGGGAGAGCTCAACGTGGACTGGCAGGACGAGCCGGAGGTACCTGGCACTGCTCACCTCCTGCCAACAGCCACAATGCAGATCGCTGCTCTGCGTGTAAGCAGCGTGCTTCCCTTTCCTTCTCAGCCCAGCGCGGTGGAAGAAGTTACCTGGTTCCCTGAGAGCTCAACGGAGATGCCTGACGCAGAGGAGCTGGCCGACTGGATGACTACCGGGGAGGTTTGTTTTCCCCTCGTGGGTCTTTGCACAATTCCATCCATCCATTTTCCATACCGCTTATCCAGAAGAGGACCATGGTGACCCGGAAGTTAATCCCAAAGAGCACAATGCAGTGGGCACATTGGAGGGGAAGCCAGTCTAGTGATACAACATCTAGCAGCATTTAGACAAATATTGGCATTGATATTATGATATCATTGTAACGTATTGCTTGAAAATGACTGATACTCGTATAGGATTGGGTCTAATAATACTGCAGATGTTGTTCATGCTGGGGAAAATATCATTAGCGGTCCATAGTTCTGGGACTTGGGGTAAATCTCAATACCAAGAATGCAAAGACCATATTGGAGCTGGTCTCCAGCAATGGAGGATGACATAAAACGGGTACACGAGAACACAAGTCTGGTCAAGTACGCATATTGAGATTCACCCTTGGTTAGCTTAGCATCTGTAGCTTCATACCTTCAGATGTTGAGGAATGTTGTTAGAACTGATCTTTTTGGTGTTTTTTTTTCTTCTTTTTAAGAGGAAGCTGAAGATTGATGATGAGACTGAGTTTTGCAGTGAAGACCTCCTGCACAGCCTGCTGAGGTGTAAGGTGAGGCGTGAGGCAGCTCTGGGGGGCCGTGTTCAGGGGATGGCCGTGCCTGGACCGTGTGTGACATCTGCGCCTGTCCCACTCCTCCCCAGTCCATCTTTGACGACCTCGAGGGGGAGGAAATGCGGCGTGCGCGAACTCGGTCCAACCCGTACGAGACCATCCGGGGAGGCATCTTCCTCAACAGGTAGTCAGCCTCTGTCTTCATGCTACTGCGTGGATAATCCACTACTAGATCTCAGCCAGATAAGTGATGGTGCAAGAGCAGGCATGTCAGGGTCCTGTACGTTTAGCTATCCTTTTAGAAACAACAGATTATATGCATTTTAACTAATGCATTTTATTGTGGGGTGACGACTTGATGCCAAGATATCAAAATATCGGAGTACCGTTGCTTTTGAAAATACCATCAAAAAAACGTATACCGTGGTAAAATGTCTGGATAGTATGAAAAATTCGAAAATACCCTTGCTGATTTTCATTGAAACATTTTTTTTTTATGTTATTTGTGATTTTATGAATTCAGCATCCATCTTGCCAGTTCAGTTCAGAACATGTACATAGGGAGAATAATATAAGCAGGAAATTATTCAGTGCCACATAAGCTGGAGCATGTAAGGACAGTTTTAGTTCTAGTCAAATGCCGCAATGCTTCTCCAAAAGTCAAGGCGTAGTGTATATGATTTTTTTTTTTTAAAAATTCATTAAAAGTACGTAAAAAGTTCAGAAATAGGATGTACAGAGACATAGACTTCCTTTCAGAGGTAAATAGCCTGTGGAAAGATACAGCTTTGAATAGCCCTGACTGGGTCAAACAGCAGTACCAATGTACTTTAAAAGATGTCCTTGTTTCATGCACTTGCAATTGCATAACATATATTTGTTGATGTCATTGTGTTATATGGAGCACAAAGAAGCAAGCAGCAGGGTGGCTGTAATGTAGAAGAATTACTAAGATTGTGTCTCATTAGTTTTCCTGGTTTATTTCTGCTGCTGCATTTACGTCTTTCCTTATTTTAATCCGGTACCCTTTGCTCTTCTCAGGGCAGCGATGAAAATGGGCAACATCGACCACGTCTTTGACTATATGTTTACCAATCCGAAGGACTCTCAGAGGGTAAAGGCTCCACTTTCGCAACATGCTGCTGCCTGTCTCTCCCTTTCCATCTCTTTCCCCATAACTGGTGTCAGTGAGTTTGGAGTCCATCACCGGTCACATACTCACACTAATTTACTAATTACTAATTTAATGAATTGAGTTATTGGTAGTTATTACTAGGGATGGCACGGTTCATGAAAAAAAAACGAACCGTTCGGTTCGCTTGTCTCGGTTCGGAGCATGCATGCGTCGCACGGTTCGACGGTTCATGACATGCGCAATGTAGCCTCATGCCATGCGCAATGTAGCCTCATGCCCCGTATGTGACGTCAGTGTGTTTCCCTTTCGCGTGAAAGAATAGGCTATATGCACAGAGAGGTGTGACGTAGTTCCGGTAAAGTAAGTAATTTCCGATAGCCTTTCGTTTGCTGCGTTTAGCTCGTGTTTTCGGCGTTACCACCCTGTCTCTGAAGAAAACGTTTAAATTTCAGCCTACCGATAGCACAACATCTGAACACTGTTGTGCGCCTTTGTTGTGTGACTTAATTTAATGTGCAGTTAGGCACTTTGTTAAAGAAAATTAAGTTATCTGTGACAAAGCACTCCAGTGAGTGTCATGCCTCGATCGTCCGATCAATGTACAACATGATATAATTGCCAGATGAT